GTTGTTGCAGTAGTAGTAGTAGTAGTAGTAGCAGCAGGAGTAGTAGTAGTAGTAGTAGGAGTAACAGTAAGAGTAAGAGTGCGAGTACGAGAAAGAGAAAGAGTCAGAGTAAGACCAAGAGTAAGAGTAAGACTAAGAGTAAGAGTAACAGTAAGAGTAGCAAGAGCAGCAAGAGTAGCATGAGCAGCAAGACTTGGAGGAGCAGAAGCCGGAGCACGAGGAGCAGGAGTAGGAGCAAGTGCCAGTACCTACTGCTGCTGCTGCTGCTGCTGCTGCTGCTGCTGCTGCTACAAAAGCGATCACTCCACATTCGACAACGGACGAACGAGCAGTACTGCTTCAACTATTACTCGTAGTCGCTGCAAGAAAAGAGGAGGACAACGACAACCACTGTTTCTGCTGATGCTGCTGCCGCCCCTTTCTATTTCTGCATCACCATCGTGGCGACGGCAATGGCGACTTTGCTAGCCCTACTCCTGCTAGTCAGTACTGCGACGAGTACCACCACTGCCACCACCGCCAACACCACCGCCCTGATCGTTGCTGCTGCGGCGACGATGCTGACGACGTGCTAGGGGTCCTGGACAATGGTTTTGGTGTTCCGAGAACGATCACTCGACAGGTGTCAGACCTGCGGCGCGAAGGTTCTCAGCACTGACTGACTCGGTCTCTGCTGGGCGAAGGCATTTACATGATGCAACATGACAGCTCTCCGCGAAGTTGAGGCTGCAGATTCTGTGCGGTTTCAAGCAGCCAGGAGCCCTCAAGCTTGGATCCGGCCAGGGAGCTGCCTCACGACATGGTCCCGCGTTGGCCTCATTTGCAGTTCATGAATTCGAGACGCACTGGGGGCTGTACAGCTGAAACGCCCCGCCATGCCCTTATAAGTCAATCATGTTCTCGGCTGAGGTGTGACATCCTGGACCAAAAGACGCCAAGAGATACCGATGCTGCAGCTCGTCCATAAAAGTTCAGCTCTGACAGACGGGCAACTGTTTGTCAGAGCATGCATTTGTTTGAGTATTGCTGCATGCATGCATGCATGCATGTTCAGGCCAGTGTAGGCATGTGTAGGCGTGTGCAAGCCGCTGCGTGGCTTGTGTCTGCATCTGTATATAGTTTTAGAGGGAGATGAGGAGAGGAATTGAGATATATATATATATATCATGAAATGCGGCGAAATTTAATGGAAGGTTTGGTTAGGTTGGGGCGGTAAGGACAGCGACTGATTGAATTGACATGCTGCAATGTGAGCATGAAGTTCAATGCAGGTGGAGATTTATGCACGTCGCAATGTATGCACATGAGTGTGTGCATTCACGGCAGGTCTCGAAGCATGAACTGGATCCGTGACCGCTGACAGTCGCTGCTTGAGCGCCTGTTCCTCCAGCGCCTGGACACACACAGCGCGGAGTGGACCAGCAACTAGCAAGATATCGAGCACGCCGACGATAGACAAGGTTTCGCATGGAACAGAGATCCACGCGACGCGAGAAAGCATCGCCGAGCAAAGTGAGAAAAAGGGCTGCCGGAAGGATCCATGGCAGGTTTGTCAGAGACCCCACTTTCGCCTGAAGCATGTGTGTATTTTGCACGTTTCGGCTCATGCGGTCACATGAGCAGCTCACATGCATACCGCAGGCAAAAGAGATTGGAAAGCAACCACCACCAGCACCAACCAAGCCCATAGTTCAGGACAGCGCGAGTCTGCTTGGTAAGTCACCATCCCGCCTCTTGCAGCCGCGCGGCCGCTGGAAGCTCAAAACCATGGGAGAGAGAAGGGTGAGGGGTTGAGATGGCGATAGACGACATGTTGATATGTTGACAATCCGGAGCTGGCTAAGGCCATGGCTTTGCAGATGCAGCAAATGCATATGCAGCAGCAACAGCTGCAGCAGCAGCAACTGCAACAGCAGCAGATGCAGGCGCAGCAGCTGCAACATCAGCAGCTGCAGCAGCAGCAACTGCAGCATCAGCAGATGCAGCAGCAGCAGCAGCAGCAGCAGCAGATGCAGCAGCAGCAGCAGATGCAGCAGCGGCAGATGCAGCAAATGCAGCAGCATCCACAGATGCAGCAACAGCAGCCCCACATGCAGCAAAATCAGGCCAATGCCCGCAGCAGTGGAATGTATGATGCTCTAGTGAGAACTCTTGCTCCTGGCTTCCCGCTTTTGTAAGTATTAGCTTTGTCGTATTGTCGCTTGACACTGAAGCCTCTGGTCCAGCGAGCTCGTCTGGCGAAGTTGCGCGGCTTTCGCTCATCACGCCCGACCTTCGCACGCTCGGGTTGAGAACGTTTGCACACGGGTGATCCTAGTCTCAGGGTTCCGTTGGGAGGCCAACTTTGGCGGTGCCAAGGGAGGAGCTGGCTGCAAAGGAGGCAGGAGGGACCGCGTCGTTGGGTCGGCTTGGAAGTGGGATCCTGACTCAGGACATCTCAGGACTATAAGGATGGGTACTTCCGGGTGCTGCAAACTGAAGGAGTAATCAGCTTCCGAAGCAACATTCGACGTGGTGCCTGGTGACCCCCAGCAATCCCTGCCTCTTAGGATCAGAAAGGCCTCCCTCCTCCCGATTGTGATTGCAATTAGCAGTCCATCCTCGTAAAGTGGCATTGCGCAATTCTTGTTTCCAACCTCTTCAGTGTGCAGTCCGCGAACCCTGCAGTGCTAGACTCCTGTCGTGCCTGCAGCCTACAATCCCCGGCCCCAACCTTTGCGTTCCTGCGGCGCTTACAGTCTGCAGTGCTTTCTGCCTGCCGTCCTTTTACACTTTCCAGTACATTATCGCTCTTAATTTTTGGTATTTCGGATGCCCTGCCAATCCCCAAAATTCGGGCATTCTTGATAATGCAGCCAATCTAAACTCACAGTCAACGACATTTGTGGCACAATTTAGAATCTGCTAGTTGCTAGTTGATTGAAACCCTGCGGCGGCTAGCCTCCTGCAAGGTATGCCTGGCAAGGGAGGGCAAGGGCCGGCAAAGACCTCAGTTGTGACAGCATACAGCAGTCGTGCTCTGTGCTTCAGACTCAGGCACGGCCCCCGGCGCCCCCGCCACCGCCGGGAGCCCCTGGGGTGCCGCAGCCACGTCCGACTGGGCCGGGGCTGACGGTGACGGGGTGCAACAACGCACCTCGGCACTTATATGGAGTTTCGAGCTGCTTCCTGCCTCAAGAGTTTCTGTCGGGTAGTCACTCAGAGGCCCTGCTCCTGGCCTCTGTCAACCAAGGGATGCTGTCCAGTGCCCCGTACCAAAATCATGCGTCTAGGATCAGCGTAAATACTGACTGTCTCCCGCTTCGAAGACGTGCTTGCTGCGAAGTGCTGAAATCTGCAGTTGCTGCGGTCTCAGCACATAGCATCGCAGGACACCGTTCGAAATCTCATCAACGGCTCCTACTCCGTAACAGGGGAGAACCATGGCAAGCCCATGTGGAAGAAGGACCTCCGACTGCAGCCAGAATGCCTTGCCTCTTCCTCGTTGCATCGACACGCTGTAGTCGTAGACAGAGTCACCTCACAGGACCACTCTGGGCCTGGTGCCCGGGCCTCGAAGCCCCGACATCTCCAATAAACCGCAGCTTTTTGTGGAAGCTAATTTAAAAGGTTTCGCAGTTTTGGAATTTTTGTATGCTGCATCTGCTTGCACGGATGATGTCGGGATTCATTGCTATGTTCGATGCTGCAGCCTCAGGTCTCAGGACACTGTTTTCTTTTTCTGACTGTTTGAAAGAGGGGGCCTCCTTCGCTCGGCTTGGTATGGGAGCCGTCGCACTTGTTTTGGCTGCGATTTTGCAGTTTCGGCTGGGCGAGGCTTCAAGTCCCCGGGAATGCCACAACATTATCAACAACTGCTATGGATACGACCGATCCGACGTCTGGTTCGCCCTGGCATACAAGGAGTGCCTCACGGTTTGCCCTCATGTCGGTCATGGTGGAGAATGTCGCGACGAATGTCAGTGGACGACCGAAGGTTGGTGGAGGGTGAACAGGATGGACCAGGTCAAGGTTTGCCTGAAAAGGCAGGAAACCTTGTATGCCTTCTTTCACTGGAACCGTGACAGAACTCCTGACAGTACCGCTATCACGTTCCTCAGCGGAAGGTATCGGTTCTGTCTGCAGGGGGGAAAAACAAAGGTTCACGAATTGAAGCGGGACGGCAGGACCCTTTATTTCGATAAGCTTGAGGAGTATGAGGCTGACGAATGCTGGAGGTTGAGTAGAGAAGCCAAGATGAGGACCTTCACAATGGTGGACGATGGCTCATACGGCAGTGCCACAATAAGTGGCTCCTGTGCAGGAAATGCCAGATCTAGCAACCAGAGCGAGGTAGTGAGATTCACCGCACCGGAGCTTTTGACGGAAACTAACTCCAGCGTCCCGGGCGAGGCCACGCGTGTGCTGGATGAGGGCAAGGAAAGTGTCGTGGTTTTAAGAAAGGATCCCGCGACGCATGCCTACACAGTAGTAAAGAGAAACTATCCTGAGACTGCTTCTGTTACCTTAAGCCTCGAGCGGCCTTGTGTGCACTTCAACAACCCACGGCTGTCACAAAGAGGACGGCATGCTTGCACCCAGAACGCCGAACAGCGGCGCCTTCAAAGTGTGGCACAGAAAAAGCGGTGTGCAAGTGCTTTCTGTGGACTGGAAGAAGGGAAGGTTGGGGGGTGGTGGGCGTCTCGCAGATTAAAGGTCACCGTTCTGATCTACTACTGGGACGAGCGGGACGGGCCGAACTTCAACGGCTGGTGGATCGGCCCCAAGGCTGCGGAGCGACTGCAAAGCCACGTGTTGCTTGGGGTTTAGGGGCTCAGATCTGTGCCGCTGAGAGCTGAGAGCTGAGAATCTGTGGGCCCCAGCAGAAAACAAGACACGATGTTGATGGGCTGCCTCCCTGCGAGGTTGGTGGTGATCAGGTGTGGTCACAGAATGAAAACAGGCCAGAACCAGTGATCCAGAGCCTTGCAATTTTCGGCAGCGACCTGCTGGCAAGACGGGTTTGCAGGCATGCAGTCAGTGAGACACCGCTTCTGATCTTGGCGTTCATGACCTCTCCTCTCGGGCAGATCGGCGCCGTCGCCTCCGACACTAGGGTGGAAGGTGCCTTGGGATGGCCCTGTGGATGCCACACTGAAGCACCACGACTGCAAGAACAGTCAGAGTCGAAGTATGCCTGGTTGTTTGTGTGTGTGTGTGTCCTCATCGATATCCACAACATATCTATGTTTGCACAAGTGAGGGGTTGCGGCGTGAATTTTGCCGAGGACATGCAAAAAGTAAAGTTGAAGCTCCGGAAGAGTACACAGTTCTTCCCTTCTAGGATCCCTTGCAGCAAGCGTACAGAAAACTCACATTTAACTACAACGTGACAACGGGTTCTTGCGGGAGTTGTCCTGCTACCTTGGATTCTCAATTGTTTCTAACCCTCACGGCGACACGGCGCACCTGTACTTCCTGCAGAAGAACAAGGGATACGGACAGAGAAGCACAAAGACAGACAGATTTGCATGTGGCATGTCAAGCGTACTAAACAGGTAGGGTCGCACATCGTCGCACTTGCGCAGAGGCATCTCCAACCCCAATGAAGACGTGGTTTGCCACAGCCGCTCCGAGCAACACGTAGCCTTTCGGAACTTTTGTGGCCGTGGAGGACCCCCACAGAACAGCCATTGGCGGAATGCGCCGACCTATGCAAAGTGGCAAAACTCATCTCAGCGGCACGATGGGGTTTGGAATCAGAAGCGGTAACGACGGCAGCGGAGGATGAGGAAGCTAGGTGCGCTCGTTTTGGGTGGAGTTACATTCACACATGCCTGTACATGAGCCTGCTCATCCTGCTCTTCTAGTCAGTCGCCCCGAATATCCAGGTCATGCACGGCCTTGCTCTGCGTGTTGATTTGTTTTTGCTGGTCCTGTTTGTTTTATCATGCTTTGTCACTCTGGTGATCTCTCGTTGTCCCTGTCTCTATGTATGTTGGCATATGTCATCTTATTCGTCTACACAGTCGTGATCGTATAGTAGTTAGTAGTACTGCAGAGAACTTGACAGTCGCTCAGGGTTGCCCACGCCGGCGGTGCGGCGCCAGTGGGGGGCAAAGGCTTCCCAGCCCACGGCAAGGGGGCCCCGGCTTTACCAGCCCCTGGCCCTGTGAACGCCCCTCCCAAAGCCATTTCGGCGCCGCCGCCTGTTACAGCTCCTGGCGCCATGGGCGCTATGGCGGGTTTCAAAGGCGGCAAGGCTCCTGGCAAAGGCACCAAGGGCAAGGCCGGTTCTTTCTGTCATCTTCTCTGGTCAAAGTCAATGCTTTGTTGTTTCGCTGTGAGCCCTGTCAGATCCTGTCAGGGCCCACCGGCTGGCAAAGGCCCTGCCATGGACCCGGAGGCATGCCTTAGACGGGCCGTTTGCAATCTACGGCAGTCGGACTCACTTTTGCGCTCTGGTCTTGAAGGAAATGAAAAGGAGACAGATAGAGCGAGAGCAAGAGCAGAAGAAGCGGCAGGACTCCGTGCACCATTTATTGATAGATTGGCTGGCTGATGCCGCCTTGAAGACGTGCTGAGATTGTAGTGATTGTAGTGCTTCATGCTTACCCGGCACAGGAGGAGATAAAGCGAAAAAGGGAAGATGATGAGGTGAGAAGAAAGGCCGAAGCTCAGCAGTTTGATGGAACCCAGCAAGTGTTCGATCTTGGCTTTTGAGCAAGACCCAGTTCAGTTAGCTCGCCAGGAGCATAACGCTGTGCTGGCCGTCCGCAAAGCGATCCAAAAGGCTTGTCAACCTGTCTTGTCGAGGCTTGCCGGCATGATGCAGTGCTGGAATGCCTGCCGCTGTCAGGTGCGCACAGCCGTTCCCGCAGCTTGTCCAGAATATTTCAGACGTCTTGGCAAAAAACAGGATGGTACTCTGGCAAACCGGTTACCGAGCCCAATCAGACCTTGCAAGGTTTCGCATCTTTGGGTTCTTCGTGATTACGACAGGGAGTGGTATCTGCGGCCGATTGATTAAAGGGCGCAGATCTCAGCATCCTAGGACACCTACGATGCGCTGCGCCTGCAGCTCGAAGAAGCCCTGGCGGCCCAATTGGAAGCTTGGGAAGCGAAAGTCCCACTTTTGCAAAGCTGCTGTCGTTTCAGGCATACGATTGCAAATCGCTTCATGCACCGTTTTATGAGGCAAATCCCTGCAACTCCAAGAAGACATAGACGCCGCAGGATCAACCACTGCCCACAAGAAGTAGTGACTGAAGTGGATTGAAGATGAGAGTTGTAGGACGGGGCAGACACAGGTATACACATGTGCTCTTGGATGTATGAGGTCAGAAAGATTGTGCTGGAGTTCTATCTTCCAAGGATCCTGACCCCAAACTCCGGAAAAAAGCTCAGGGAGCACAGCTGTGACGACTAAGGAGTCCCTGGGGAGCCAAGCCCCAAAGGCGCGGTCTTCCATCTGAGGGGGCCGGGGCTGAGCAGCAGGCTTTCCGATGCTAGGGAGTTGTCGTCGTTAAGACTTTGGGATATATCGCTTGAAGAGACAATAAATGAACAAACGAACGTTTTTTTGTGTGCAGCTCCCAAAAATGCATATCTCTCGACTATGCACTAGTTTCAGTTTCAAGGTAGTGTGTGGACACGCGGGATGTCACTACAGCACACGAGCTACGGGCTTTGCCCGCTACGGATGTCTTGCCGAGCTCCTCGCTGCTGCATCTGAGCTTCGACCCGACTCCGACACTTCCCTTCGAGCCCCTCGGGGCATGAAGGTCGGGCAAGAGGCTGAGCAAGCGCTGCATCAGACGCAACAGCGCCCCTCAGGCTGCATTTTTCGTACAGGAGTGGAGCCTGCAGGCTTCGGTGCAAGCTAAAGGCACCTTGGAGATCAGGAGTGCAGCTCCCGGTGATTCCTTTTGCGGGCCGTGCGTCATGCAAGCGCCGGCCCACGACTAGCTGCATCTTCCAAGATGCGTCCATCAAGTCCTTTCCAAGCTGCATGCTCCTGTAAGGTGTACAGAGTACCCCAAATCTTGGTCGTAACTGGTCCCTCTTGAACAGTTTTCTTGAAGACACTGCCTCCCCCCTCCCTGCGACCGGAGAGAATCCATGGCCAAAAGACTGGGAGCGCGAGCAGAGAAGACAGAGAGCACCCCTGCTGTGCCCGCCGTTAGCCGCTAAGAGCTAATGCCTCAAACCCGATTCTTGGGAGAGCCCAGGCCTTGATGAGATGCACGATAGGAGACTGCAGGAGGACAACTACCGGGAGCTTGAGGACCCTGGCACGGTAAAAGCAAGCTCGAAAAGCGCGACGATGTATGAAAAGGCTAGGACTAGGCAGCAAGATGGAAGAAGACGCATCAGGTATTGCCAAGTAGCTTCTAATGGGAGACACAGACACAGGCACACACACACACAAGTAAGTTCAATCCTGGCCCGTGTGCTGGGGCTCGTACCTTCGATTCATACGAGGAGACAAGCCGCCATGTTCCAAGCTTTCCCTCTTACTTGCTTTGTGACGACATTGGTTTCCGCTTCTGACCAGAAGACTGTTTCTGCTTGTGCGCAGCCGTAGGGACGACGTTTACTCGATGGCGAACATAAGGACAGTCTCGTGCATGTTTGTATCCTTGTTTGGTTTGGTTAGCACATTTACAGTCACGTGAGAGCCCTAGCAAGCCTTTGACGACAGATCAGTGCCTGATCGGTTTGAATGGTCTTATAGCTAGGTCGCGAGTCTGATAACTTTTGGCCTTGGGGGTATATGTTTTCGGACACAGCGTTGGGGGCGTTACTTTTTCCAGGTTTGGGGTGTAGGGGCATGGGAACAAGATCCTGCTTGGGTGGTGACAGCTGGAGTTCTTACCTGCCCTCAAGAGCCTTATGTCAGCCCAGACCGTAGCATTGCCGCTAGCAGCAGTCATGGCATCGCCGCATAGACTTGCCATTTCTTCCCACGAGGACCGGCGCCGCAAAGATGAAGTGCAGCAGGCATCCTCCCATGAATCGGTTTGTGCTGGGGGAACTCGGGGGGTCCTGTCTCTCAAATAAGACAGCCGGCGTTGTTTCAGCTGGAATCTTGCGGCATAGAACTGCAACACCAACACCAACACCCTCGATTTGGGCAGACATGGCGTTGCTTGTCTTTGTTGGAAGGCCATCTTTCTGAACAGCAGGGCTCTGCAAGACTGTACCAACTGATGGCAGTAGCTATCCCAAACAGAGGGGCCAGACGATCCCTGGGCCGAGTTCAAGCTGTCAGCCTCTGCACCCATCTCCAATGATAGCTCGCATAAGTCCAATTTAAGGAGGGTTTCCCCGTCGATTCGAAAAGCACCCGAAGTCCCCAAGCTCTCCAGCTCCCCGAATGCAGAATCACAAGCACGACCATGATCATGCCATTTCGTTTAGTATAATATATATATATATATTATATACACATTATATGAGCAATATACTATTATACCATACATACATACATATATTATTATTATTGTTGTTATTATTATTATTATTAATAGTTATAGTTATGGTTATGGTTATAGTTATCGTACACATGATATCCTCACCTACCTATTCGTGCGCTCGGTAAGCCAGGCCATGCTCCTGGAAGCGGAAGCCAAGGCCGCAGCAGAGGAGCAGCAGGGAAAGCTCCAGGAGGCTCCCCCGAGCGTTTCTTTGGGGATTGGGGTCTGGGGCCTAGATTCTGGATTTAGGGATACATTAGGGTTTGGGTTATTTTGGGTTTGGGGTTTGGGTTATGTTGGGTTTTGGAGTTTGGGTTATTTTGGGTTTTGGGGTGCGTGGCTTCAGGGTTTGCTTCAGGGTTTCAGGTTGGCCGAAGCTAGGGCTTGCGGCTTGGATAACTTAGGGCGAAGCGCGCCCTGTGCATCTGAGCAAAAACGACAGTGATCACCAAAACGGGTGGCAGATGCGGCAACAGGAACATAGCCAGAATGTACAAGTGCTGTACCTGCACAGCCGTTGCGAACTTGGGGTGTGTTTGTGTGTGTCGAATGCAGAATGTGGAAGTTGCAGGCACTTGCGGGGCCTCAACAGGTTTCCAACCGACCTTGCCAGCTTTCGCCAGATCTCTGACTTTGCGTAGCCTCCACACTAACTCGAAGGCCTGCACCCGAAATTCATGGCGTTCCAGGCGGAGGAGGTGGCAAAGCAGCTAGAGAACGGGAACCAGGATCCAGCGAAGACGCTGATTGCCGTTGAGGCGGTTCAGCTTCAACTCATCGCCGCAAGGGTCGCTGCTAGCCTGGCCAGAGCGGCCATAGCAACAACGGTGAGAAGATGCTACGAGAGTTTACCCATAGTGGTACTACCTGACCGATAGCACACTCGATTATCCCATACACGCACACACTCACACACACACACACACGCACAGAGACACCGCGGTCACTTGATAGCTTGGTGTTCTAGGCCTTGCTTTCCTCAAGTGTTCCAAGGCTGCGGTGAAGTCCATTGCAGCTGCTCGAGATGAGGTGCATGTCTGTGTTTCAGCTTATATAGTATGTCAAAATGACCGGCATCTTAGGACCTTAGGAGCCAGCCAACCGAGATCAGGAACGCTTTGTCCGTGTTATATTTTCCCATCGCTATCACCTGCGCGTTCCTCACCATCATCTTCATCATCGTCTTTCAACATGACATGCACCAGCACCAAACTGTCAACGTGGAGCGATTACTGTGATCATGGATGTCCTGCAATGTCGCTCAGCATCCTTTCTTCTGAGTTGATGATTCTTCGATGCGACTTGTTCATCACTATGCGTCACTATGATCAACGTATATCAACCTTGCCTTTACGAAGTAAAACGTCGTGACTTGAGCATACTTCAGCTGTGTGGATTGTGTGTAGGGGATCTCTGGGAACCGCAGTTCTTGTAGTGTATGTGTTCAACGATACTCGTACCTGTGGTTCCTGACTCGACGTGAGAAGTGCCTGAACAGGAAGGGCTCACCCCTCATAATCCAGAGCCCCGATGCAAGATCCTGTTTATCCCACCTTCAGCCTTCGAGTTTATCGCCGTAAGGCCCCAGCGAACCTTATGTCCGTTACCTGTAAGCTGCGACAGGCGCAAAACGTCCGTCAAGCCATCCTCGACAAGCAGCGAGGCTTGAGTGAAAACGAAGCAACGCGAAAAGTCAAACGAATCTCGGCTTGTCAAACGGGGCTTCGCAGGTTCTGTTGGATGCAGAGCGGCTAAATAGCAAGTCTGGATTCATGGCTGGTGGATCTGCAACGCTGGGGTAGACCAGAGCCTCACGGAGCAAACATGGCAAGCGTCCATCTCGATAACAAGGGGCATTTCTTGTCGCATCTAGGTAACCTAGGTACATATTGCAAGGAAAGAATTGAATGTATATTACATAAGTTATAGAGTACATCCATCGAGACGGTCATGCATTCGTACAAGGCGCGAGAATACATGTCTACATGCATGACTATATATGTACAAATGCATAGCTGTGTATGTATGTACGTACGTGGTATGCAATGTAACACTGCATGTATGTTTGTGTGTATGTCTCTGTGTGTGTATGCCTGCGAAAACCGCCATGCTCAAGGAGAGGTCATTGACACGGCGGCCCGGCTTGGGCGGAGTGTGGGCGCATTCGAGAGACTGCTCGCCTCTGTCAGCAGCCGCCGGCACAAGGCCACATCCGAGGTTTGCCAAACGAGAAGGGCCGAGTTTGGTGCATCGGTCTGAACTGAGGATGCATGCGCCAAATCCTTGCGGTTTCTGCATGTTTACTCCTCCAATCTGTGCTTGTGAAGCTGTGGCAGTTGGTAGAGTCAAGTCTGCAACGACCAGAGAAGCCTGAGATAACTGCTCCGCAGCTCTGTCTGCAGACATGCGCAGTCAAATGCAGCCCAGCCTCAATCCTGATATTTGTGGACAGGAAGAGGGAAAAGCGGTGGCATTAAGGAAGCTAAACGAAAAGCCGCTTGGCTGAGGATTCGCTATGACCTAGCTTAATACACGTCAGAGCATCAAGACTGCCGCTGAAGACTTCATCAGATGTGTGTAACGTCAGAGGAGACGAGCGATGAATGTGCCTGTGGGGCTCCATCTCTTCCTATGTCATGGCATGAAGGAGTTGGATTTTGTCGGGTTGCGGTCCCTTCCGAGAGCTTCTTCCTGGAATCATTTTGCTGCAGCTCATAGCCCGAAGCACGAAGAAAGGAAATCCGAGTTTGTCAAGTTCGACCTTGACGGCGACCAGCAACTCAACCGATCCGTGCCTCACCTTCTCAATGGAACAGTGTATTTCATGTTGAGGACTCTGTATTCTTGATGTTCTCGCCATTCAAAAAACGAGCGGTTTCTTCAAGTACATGCCTAGCATGTCTACATAGGAGGAGCTACAGAGGATTACGGAGGTAGACCGCATGCCTCAAGGCATGAAGGCTGCACGATAGAAGTGCAGAATCGTAGAATCAGTCTGAGTCTAGGAACGGTTGTTGATTCAAAGAGGGATGAAAGTTCAAAGGGGTGGCAGGGCGATTGAGGACATGCTTCATGCCTGCACTGATTGAAAGCCTGTGCTCGTCAAACTATGGCATGGTTTGGTTGGATACCGTGACTCGATCGAATCACTCCCTGATTCTCCGAAGGAAGTCGAGGCGTACGCCAAGGCGACATTGGCGTACGAGCTGCCGGCTGATGTTTTGGATGCCATAGCCAAGGGGCTGCATTTGAGCAAAGCTCCATGGACTGTTTGTTTGCCGCGCTGCACGTGACATTACCTGCGCACATGCAGTGTTGTGTGTGTGTGTGTCTGTGCGCATTACGGGCTGAAAGCACTCAGAAGTGTTCGACACCGGCACTGGCTGACGTAGAGCGCAACAACTTCCAAGGGCATCTGTCATGTGCTGCGGTGTGTCCCGCCGTTATTCCACGAAGCTTCTCCCGGTGCTAGCTGGCCATCAAAACTCTGTGACTTCAGCATGTTCCAAGGCTCCGCTATTGCGAAGTCGTGATCCGAACATGAAGCTCCTTCCCATTACAGCTGAGGTGAAGAAGCTGGACCCCGTCACCTTGACGAAGTTCCGGCCGCTGCATCAGAAGTTGTATATCGCCAAATCGGAGATCCTTGCGCGAAAGGCCGAAGCGAAGACGCAAGCAAACCCGGCTAAGATTTAATAGTCTACAAATCGATCGTCAACCAGCCTGCCCGTGTTTTCATACTGCTGTTAGAAAGAAGCTGTGTATTGTTGCAGGGTTTCATGTTACGAAAGCCTGAGGCCTACCGTTGCTAGTCAGTAATTTACCGGGTACGAGGGGAGAAATCAGTCTCTCAGGGTCTCAGGGCATTCTTAAGTCGCTTGCGATTTGTTGTTGGCTTCAGCAACTTGACTTGCGCAGCGTCCGCAATGCATTATGCCCGAGGCACAATGTGACATCAAAGCAGAATTGATACGTCTAGGAGTCTAGCATATATGCGTGCCGTGCCATGTATTGCTGAATTAACCGGACTCCCTCCTGCTGGGGTTCTTTCATTCGCCACGTTTCCCCGGTGCTATCCCCCACGTCAGGCTTTGAACGTTTCTGTCTCTCGGTACCCCTTGCCACAGAAGATCATCAGCCCAGTCCGTAATTGTGGAACCCCATCCCCAAAATCCGGAACCCCGACTTCCTTGTCCCAAGCCTGTATAAGTGTGGATTCTGCACCCGCCCGGCATGGGATTCTGAAATTCCGAATGCTGAAACCGCAGGCTTTCAAACTCACAGTTGACATTTGCCTGCACGGATGTTGATCGTTTACAGGCTTACGATCGTATCTCATGAGCGTTCGGGCCGCTCACGGTGTAGATCCAGTGAAACCTTATGCCTCACACAGAAACCTGTCAACCCACGGACTGCAGCAGACCTTGGGAGGCGCGCTCCGAGGAGGAAAAGCGGCAAGCAGCGCTCGCAGAGATGCGCGCGGCGGCCACCAGCGCTCCTCGCCGGGAAGTTCTTGGCTTCGTCCGATTCAGTCGATTGAAGATTCGTGAAAACATGTACATCGGTCGGAAGTGTTCCAGACCGTGTTCCAGACCTGGCTTTCCCAGCAGAAACCCTGGCTGTTCGAGGTTTCATACTCGGCTGCTGAGGGGCAGGGGGCACGGGAGACACGTCGGCAGCGTTGGTGCAAGGGCCTCTTCACATGTTACCTAGCAGTGGAAAGGGCAGGGGAGGGAGGCGAGCGAGGCGGGGTAGGGGGGGGTAGGGGGGGTAGGGGCACTGCAGGGAGGAGGATTAGGTGGAGGGTACTTGAGGAAACCCCCAAGACGCCTGGGTCGGTGGCCTCGGCAGATACCTGCCACCTATGGACTGGATTGATTACAATTTGGCTCTGTGCTTCGGACGGACCGGAAGACAAAAAAGATTGACGAACATGGGTTTGTCGTCGAGTGTTTCCAGGTGTTGGATGCCGCCGGCACAGTATCTCTTAGCTGGTTCACTGATTCTTGTCGACCTTTTTTGGAGCCAGGTGGTTTGCAAGCGTTTCGTTTCTTGGAGCGGCGAGGGGCGGTATCGTATGCGAAAGCGCCTGACGAAGAAAACAACTTGTTTCGGCAATGAAACAATGTAGCGATTTCCACCTTCACGCTCCAGAGCGCGGGATCGTGTTGAGTGCCAGGTCGTGCACGAAAACGTATCATGCTTTTCGAGTGCATGGCAAAACCCAGTTTGCCACATTTTGCCACTGGCTCATGTCCCGTCGCCCACATGTTGCGGGTTTCCGACAGGTCTTTACGTCTGGCGTCAGGGTTTCGGATGTGTACGACCAAAGTCCGAGGAGAGGTTTGGGCAGAAGCCTCGGGATTTATTGGGATTTGTGGGTGAATCCCTCAGGCTCGCCGGCTCCGGGACCCTTTCAAGACTTTAAGTTTCGGAAGCAGCAGGTCACCCGTCGCAGCGGCGATGAGGTCTTCTCAAGCTAGGCTAGGACTTCGGCCTTTGGGACTGGTGAGGTCCTCGAGAAGGCGGAGGATGTGCAAAAGATTGCAGAATCTGCTGCCATCGACGCCGAGGAGAAGATGCGGTTCCTTTTTGCGGAAAGGCCTGCTTGCAAAAGACTCTGTCTATACTTCGAGGGAAGAAGAAGGGTTGCTGCAAGGGTCTCGCCACGACAATATGCAAAGAGAGATGTTTCGTTTCGTCACAGACAACTTCTCGGTTTCAATCAAACCCCAGCCTTGCAAGCCGCAGCTCCCCGCATCAGGGCTAATTACGGCAAATGATGAAATTATATACACCATGGCAGCAAGATTTGGAATAGATTCAGGGAGGGAGAGGGTTCACAACCCCCCTCACAAAAAACAAAAGCCAAAGCTACAGCCTTGCGTTTTCTACCAGAAAATGGCATGATCCCTCTGCCGTTTGCCTTTAACCACACTACACATTAAGTCGAAGTATAATAATGCATCCCCCGTATTCTGATCATTACGCCATTCTGATCATTAAGGCGCCTATGTTGACCAGGCCTGAGGCATCCGAGAAGATCGAGGGCACTCTGGCCGAGGTCGATGCCTTGGTTCAGATTCTTGGTCTCCGTGAGCACAGCCTCTACGGTTATCTTTTGTTGGGGGTGCCTGGGGTTTAGGGCTATTGACAGATTTGAATTTAGAGGTGGAGTTCCAGTTTCTGGAAACACTAGCAGCTGCTTCTGACCAGAATCCAGCGAAAGCCAAGGAAGATCGACGAGGCGCTGTGCCCAAGCACTCTGCAAGTGAGACAAGCTACCAGTAGCGTGCAGAAAAGATTATCTAGGTACATGTGCACATATGTGCAGGTGCTTCCAGGCTTACATGAAGAAAACGTATTCGTAGGTGTGCATACTACATACACATGTTTCATGCACAAGGTTGCAAGGGCTTCCGGGCTCGTGAAGCCTCAGCCCAGCCGCCGCAGGCGTTGGCAGATAGCCAAAGCCACCTCGATGACGCTCAGCGCCAGTGTGACGCTAGCGAGGATCTCAAGGCTGGGTCCGGGATGCTGCGAGATCAAACTCTCTACACGTTCCACGCTCTTTTGAGTTTGGCTGCCACCAACAAATCGCAAGGATCGGCACGCAGCATCAAGCAACTTGAACGTAAGCAGCGAAGGCGAGGGATGAAGACTTCGGTGTCAAGAGGATCACAAGAGGGTTTGTTGTTGGGAGCTTCGCTGCGGCACGAACCCTCAGAAAACATCCCAGGGAGAGGTTCGCCAAGCAAACTTATGTTCTCTCAGATGATGGGCTTCGAGAAGACGGTGCAGCGCCTCAGGGCCCGAGAGGCCCGGGTCCTGGCCCGACGAGACCGCTTGCAGGGCAACGCGCAATCCTTCCGGGACAAGGTGCGAGGGAAAAAGGGGGGGCGGGGGGTTTGGGCAGTTCGGAGAGTGTGAGGATTCCCCGACATGGGGATCATCAGTGCAGGGTGATGTTGCGGCTTCTTCTTGAAAGGCGCTCGCTAGAACTCAAAGGTGTGCATGGCTGCTGCTCCCTTGCAGAAGGCCGTTGAGGAAATGGGGCGAGGCGAAGCGGACGAAGAGCAAGGCAAAGAATCACAGCCTTCGTAGCTAGATCACATGTCCAGCTACATAGAGGCGTTTCTGGAGCCTTGTTGAGCCGATATGAGCCTGAGAAGCCCTTGCCCACGAACCTGCCAATAAAAGCTCCTGTTCGTCGCTCTCTACGTGGCCTAGCAGACCGGGCGTGCAAAGTGCTCCTCGGTATGTCCAGCTGTCAAAGCAGGACATGTATCACTTCATTAAGATTATCATGGGCGTTCTGTCGCATCTGCGATGTTCACTCGCTAGCCTGGTTCGCAGCCAGAGCACAACGCCGAACAAAGCGCCGCGCCTGCATTTTTGGCTGCTTGCAAACGAAATTAGTCTACGCAGTTCAGAGGTGTTCGCGCATGTTCGCGCTGGGGCGCTCGGATTCCCGGTACAGATTCATGGAAGCAGTACGCAACATTGACCCGGATCCGTCAGAAGGATGCAAAACTGATGTAAACTACCCGTTGTATAGGCTGCCGCTTGTCGAAGCTGTTGGGAACTCCATTTCGCAGCTGCTTCCTCTCAACTACGCGCTGGGAATTCGTGGTCCGTTCTCTGACCTCCCACGGCAGATCTAGGAAATCTCGACACAAACTCCGAGCCATGTACATCAAGCAGGTTATCATCCGTGGCTTCAAGACCTATAAGGAGCAAACGACGCTGGACGAGGACTTCTCCTCTGGAACAAACGTAGTCGTCGGCTTCAACGGTTCTGGGAAGTCCAACTTTTTCCAGGCGATTCTCTTCGTACTCTCTGACCAGTTCAGTTCTCTGCGCGCAGAGACTCGGAAGGCACTTCTGCACGAGGGTGCCGGGCAGGCGGTTCTGACGGCTTACGTCGAGGTTGTGTTAGACAACTCCGACCGCCGTATTCCTTTGGAAACCGACTCGGTGTCCATCCGGCGCCTCATCGGCGTGAAGAAAGACGACTGGCTTCTGGATGGGAAGCATGCCACCAAGGCAGAGATCTTCGGACTCCTTGAGGGCGCAGGCTTTGCGAAGACGAGCCCGTACTACATCGTGCAGCAAGGGAAGGTCAACGAGTTTCGAAACCGCATGTCTGGCATACTCACGTATTGCTCAATCTCAGATCAGAGAGCATGAGAGTGTGCTTGCTTGGTCAGCAGGTCAGCGAGCTTACGATGATGACGGATGCACAACGGCTGGGTCTTCTCAAGAGTATATCCGGGGCCGGCATTTGGGACGAGAGGCGCGCAGAATCCGTTAAGATTATGGAGGACACCTCCACCCGGAAGATGCGTAATGAGGGCTTGATCGCGGACATTGAGCAGAAGCTGAAAACCCTGGAGGACACCGGAAGTTTGCTAATATTGTTTTGGCCTTGCAGAGTGTTTCATGACACGATGCCCAGCTGTTGTTGTGTTCATGCAGCATGGGACCAGGTGTAGAAGGATGCAAGGCCGTGGTCCTAATGGCATGTGCTTCCAGGAAGAGCAGCGTGAGCTCCGTGAGTGCGAAAGGTGGGACGGGTGGCTACATGAATTCTGGATTACATGTTCTGTAGCAGCACCTTTTGAGCCGGTATCAAACGAAAGCGATTCTAAGGCGAACCCTTGCCCGGTAATAACTCGAAGTTGGCCGCGCGCGCTGTGGCTTCCCTTTCAAAGGGTGCATGTATTCGAGGCCAGAAACACTTAGTGGTGCATCCTGGAAGGTTGGAGGCTCGCCGCAGGACGCTAGAGTATGCCTTGGCTGACCGGGAGTGGCGCTCTGCCCAGCAGCGCATCGATGTCCTGGAGGATTCTTCTGAACTCAGACCGTCTTTCTTGCCGGGAATTTTTTGCTTCTAGTACGATACGGTCGAGGTTCAGTGACGTTCAGCCCAGCTTCGAAGTCGTAGGGCTTTACGAAACTTTAGGGTGGTGATCGAGATGCCTGAAAGGACAAGCGCGCGGAGGCATCTCAGGAGCTACGCCAGCAGCAGGGACGCTTCGCTTTGCACCAGTTTCGGCCCGTAGGCATTCAGAAATGCTAGTCAGCTCTTCAGGGGATAGATGAGGAACACCAAGGCCGTACTGCTGGACCTCCATAACCCTTCGTTACCCTAGAGCACTTACGGCCTATCCGTTCTTGAAACACAACAGACTGAGGCCCTAGGTTGCTGCACTGCTGCCACTGAGCATACAATATATTGTAGTCTAATACTAATACTATATATAAATGATTATATAATTATATAATTATATAGTCATACAGCTATATAATTAATATATAGTTATATATACTATATAGTATTATCTCCCCAAGTGCTCTGCCGAGGGAAGGTCGCCGATGTGCGGCAGCGTGCTGCGCAGGCGGAGGCGGAGGCCGAGAAACTCGAGGAGCAGAAGAGGCCCGCTGCGCTTTGGAGCTGAATTCTGCTCGTTTCGGACTTGTTTGGTCTTGTGCTCGCATCCAGCAACTAAGGCAGATCTCGGAGGGTTTGGCAGCCCTGGAGTCCGAGCGTGA